GTTTATACAATCTAGACAAATCTAAATCGTTGCGTGTATCTTGGAAAATGTAAACTGTATCCTTTTGTAATAATTAGCAATGATTCGCATCAGTCTTTTCAAATTTTTATATTTTATATCTTCTATTAACGATTCAGTTTCCTTTTCTTTTTATTTTAATCCTTTGCGTCTCTTAACCAATATATCTATATCTATATATATGCGTTGAGAGATTTTAGATTTACAGAGATATCTTCCCAGTTGAAAGCAAAACAAAATCTTTAAGAAACTATGGAGAAAATGCACCTTCTCTCTGATTTGCGAAGACATTCCACAAAGTGGAGGGTTTATGTTAAGATAATGAGTATATGGCATCATAATCCTCCTTTCAATGGTGATCTAACTACAATGATTCTCGCAGATGAGAAGGTTTGTTTCTAATTCTATTGTTCTGTTTTACACCTTTTTAAAATCATGTTCTAGGGTTGAAAAACTACTTATCTAATTTGTTTGTTTCCTTTGTATAGGGGAATTTTATGGACGCAACAATTCCACAAGGTTACTACCTCTGGAACTTTCAGCCAGGACTCAAACAAGACGTTTGGTACTACATGACTGACTTTCAAGTCATCATACCTCCAAACCAAGTCAGATATTCAACTATGCCACTTCAGGTTAGGTTTATGAGTAAAACTACCATGTGGCCTGTTAGATCTAAGTCCTGGAACAATTACTGGAACCTTGTTTGGCCTGATACTGTCAGAAATGCTCATGAAGATGATAAAAACTCTGTCTCTGGTAATAATTTCTGAAATTAAATGTTTTATACCAAGATTTATTATATATGAAGTCTTATATGACCATTTTCCTGTAATATTTTATTAGATGCTATGGGAGTTATTTCTGCTGTTTCCACCATAGGAAGGTTTCCATATGTGTGTCGCAGAGGGGAAACAGACTATGAATCTCGCTATGTCTGCTTCAAAATTAAAAATAATGTGTAAGTTTAGTTTACCCTCTGTGACAGAATTTCAATGTCTGTTCTTAAATTACTTTAAGAAATTGGATTGACTGTTCTTTTTGTTTGGAAATTAAACTTTCAATCTAGTGGGGAGACAATAAAATGCGTAGCTGTGGGAAAGTGATGTGAGTTCTTTGTGAACACTTGGTCTCAGAAGATAAGCGGAATAAACTACAACTATGATAAGATTGTTGCAGTCTTGCGTTTCTGGAGAATAACTTCTTACTGTGGTTGGTTCTTATTATAGTTTTATGAACTGACTTTACAATTTTATTAGTTACATTGACTGAATCTTTTTTTTTTTCTATAGGAAACAATGTTTTAATGAGTGAATATGGTTGTTCACGTCTATACATTGATCCAATCTTTTATGAACTTGACATTCCAAGTTATCTGTAAGTTAAAAATTCTCTTATAATTAACATATATTTTGGTTGAGATTCATAGCCTAGGTAAACATAAAGAATATGTTTTTTTGCAGGCGATCATTCGACGATGGATCAAGTGACGAAGAGGATGTGATGATGGAGATGGTTGCTGAGAACTAACATGTGAAGGAAGGAGGGATTGGATTTGCAAGGTTACTTCAGTTTCTCTTAGTTTATGTTGTTTCTTTTTACATTTTTAGAGGAGATGAACTCTGTCTTTTTGAAAACTTCCTTTGAGGTATGGAAAACTCCTTTTGTAATCGACTTAAACCTACCCTATTTGTTTCTTTTGTACTTAATCTCTATTTTACTCTGTTTTCCATAAAAAGTTTTATTAGTATATTCCCTAAATTTACGTAAGTTTTCTAAAAACTATTTGGTAGTAATCTCTTCAAATCTAAGACTTCCATTGAAGAGATTATTTTACCAAACTTGGTCTGTTATTCTCTCAATTCTCTTTTTACACAAATTCATAAACTTCTATTATTAATATCAGCATAACTTTGTTTTAAAAAAGTTTTCATTTACATTTACATCATATTAAGTACAAATAGGTAAACTATTACAAGTTTACTAAGAAGAAATCATATACAGAATCTAAAAATTCTGTTAATTCATATAAACAACTATTATTACTTTAATATCTTATCATCCAACAGAGAATATAGTAAAATCATTTTAGAAAAACAATTGACACATCACGATAAGTGTATATTTCATAAAACATGCTAATTCAGAAAGAGACACAACTAACAATAGCTAAATATTGGGAATAGATTACACCAAATTTGAATCATTAACACATCACTAACCTTTAGCAGTGATTTCAGAATTTGGACTGGCTTTAAACGACATCAAATTTTCCTTCTTTAAAGATTTGAGTTTGGTCTGTAAACATTGAATTATCTAACTTCAGTACCATATATATTTAAAACATCTTTTGTGATAGAATAGATCGTAACAGAGAACTTATCTTTGTAAATCGTCTTCTATTGGCAATATCATCATCTTCGTAATAATCTGAAATCCATTTAGAAAAAGTTAAATGTTAAACCTTTTAAGGAAACAAAAGATTTTGTTAAAATCTTTACACTATGAAATTATAAAAACTATAAACTCAATGGCTTTGCAGATCTAAGAAGATAGATTGATTTACTTGGTAAACACAAATAAAATTGAAAATCAATTTGCGATTTCTTATAAAATTAATTGAAATAAAAAAATTTGACTATAATTGGTAATCCTAACTCATGTAAGTCAGGGTTCTTCAAATTTATTGCCCAATATCTCTGTTCAAATTGGAAATTTCTAAGATCGAAATCGAATCTACAAATTTAGATAAAAAAAATTTCGAAATCTGAATAAATAAAAGATTACCTCTATGAAGAATTCCGATTTTGAGATAGAAAGATGATAAACGCAGACGTAATAGGTTGATAATCGAACAATTTTATCATCGATTCTTAGATCGTCCATTAAGCTTTCAAGAACATAGGGTTTTTTTTTTCCACCGAAAAAGAACAAAAATGTCGTGTTGGATTTTTATCTGTCCAAAGAAAAAAACAAAAGTGCAAACATTTAATGAAATAAAAGAAAAAACGGAACATGGCCTGAATTCTATACCATGCATAATGGGTCTTATAATTCCGGCGGCCCAAAACTATTTTTCTCCTGTTTCAGTCATGAGCCTATATTTTTAAATTTGGTAAATCACCTATATATACTAATTAATATTGCATCAAGTTTCAAACTTAAATTTTTAAGCACCAAACAAATTATATTTCATTTGTTTAAAAAAATCTATTATTTTAATTACTCAATATTCAATCTTACAAATATTACACAACAATAATAAAAATTTACATATATTCCAACAAAACCAAACAAACCACTCCAATCTTTCAACAAATCAAAATTATTACATTGTTACTTATATTTCTCTTCAAACTTTAAAACCAATCAAAAAATAAAAAACTACTGTACCAAATTCTATTTAAAACACTATAAAAATATAAAACCCCGCACGTACGTGCGGGTCCGGACCTAGTCTTTGTTATTTTATCAAGATTTAGTGATAGAAGTAGAAGAAGTTGTTTAGTCTCATTCAAATCACAGGCTTGTTAGGTTCATCTACTTAGTAACACTCTCTCATATCAAAGTTTCGATTTGAGGTTTAGGGTTTTCATGGAATCTGTAATTCCTGATTTGTTGTACAAAGAAAGAAGATTGGAATTGAGATTTATATATCTGCAAAATAGTTACAATTCAACAAAGACAATACCAACTGAACTGACTACAACAAATTCACAATGAAACCTATTAGTAGCGCAATCTGTAATCATACTATTTCGAGCTTATCTCGCCACGAGAGAGAAACTCGGGAATCTTCTCCTTCACCGCAAATCATTTCTTATGTTCCTTCTCCATCCATCCCATAGCTACAGCTTTCGCGATTTGGAACCGAACCAAGAAAACTGAACCAAGCTCAACCGAGATTCTTCGTTTTCGGTTCTCTTGGCTGAACCGATCGACACTGGGTCAGCTCCGCGAAACCGACCGGTTAAAATCGGTTATTTGGTTAATCTACTATACATTTTTGCAACACTTTTTGGGGATCCTAATCGGGTCAAAATTTGTTTAATTTTGACCCAGGAATTTAATGTTTTTGACTCGGAAAAATCAATCTCGGATCTTACCTTAATTGAGCATTTTACCCGAAATCTTTCACCAAATGCTTCCATATTTGCTGCTACCTACATTCAAAGCTTAAATGATTAAGTTTCTCATATTTGAAAGATTTAAAGATATATAGAATATATATAGTTATAAGAAATTGATCCTAAATACAAAATGTTTCCTATTAAAAGGCGAGAGAAACGATTTCATCTAGAATCTGTATAACTAATTGATCCTATATACAAAATGTTTCCTAGAATTATATAAATATCAAAAACGAAATTATTAGTTTGAGTTTAGGAAAATATCAGCCGTATATATCTTTTAAACAAACCAATATTCTATAATTAAATTGTTTCCTATTTAAATGGTAAAGATTTTGAGTCCATTAATATTTGTTTCCTAAATAAAATGAACCATATCAAATCGACATTAATCAACAACTGATTTTTAAGTAAATGACTAAAGCATATTCTTTAAACATGCTATATTCAATTCTTAATTTCTCGAAGATATCTTGACATTTATTTCGGATTTCTTATTATGTAAATGTTAGTTAATGATATCTAACAAATCTGGCTTGATCACAAAGCTATTTTCGAATTTTTATAAAACCTAAGGCCAAAAGAATATAACCTCTATAAATAGGTTTTCGATAACAGAAAATTATCACATCAACAGAGATTTTACCTTTTAACACAATAAAAGAAGACTTTTCAGAAATCAATGGCTGCTTCATTCTCCAATCTCATAGATTTGAGACTTTACAAAGCTTCATGTGCGTCCAAGTTTAAGATCTTGCATTCATGGACAATATACTGTCAAAAAGGGAGACTCTTGATATGGTCTAGACTGATGAGGAAGTCAGTTTTCATGTACTGAAATTTGGTTCTAAACCTTTTTCTTATTAACTAACTTGATATGTTGTATGTCTTAGGGAGCAAAGACAACTCTTTTAAACTATGATAACTTGATCTGCATACGAGGAATACCGAGAAAATCAGGTAGGTTGCATCTATCTTTTACAAACTATGATAATTTGATAAATCATGTTAAGCTATTGATGGGATCATGATGATCTGTGTTACCTTTTTTGTTGTTTCTTCTCATTTTGCTTATCTTACTGATGTTTCAGATCTTCATTCACACATATCAGACTAGCAAATCCGTGTAAAAATCTTGAAAATCTGGAAGCAAAAGGGAGTTCAGGATGAAGCAATCGAGTTATAATTCCTTGATGATAAGGTACTATAATTAGCTAGCAAAAATCTTATTCATCTTTTTTATTTCTACATCTATATTTAGCGAGTTCTGTTTTTATTTGTTTTAGATTCAATATTACTAATGGGGAAGGTTGTTCTCCAAGTATCTTTGATCCACAAATTCCAGAATTTACAAGATTAGGCAAACGTAACCTTATTCTAACCAAGGTAAATAATTAGTGTTGGGTGTTTGGCAACAAGAACATCATTTAGTTTACTTTAAAAAAATAACAATACGTACTTAGAGCTACTGGATTGATTGTTATCAAGCATTGGTCTATAAAACTATAACTATAAGATAGATGCATAAACGGATCCGAGAGAAAGAGATTACCATTTCTTGCATGTGCTAATTATATTAGAGTTATTAAATCAACTGGCCAGAGATTTTGAGAACCTGAAATTGAACAAAGACAACGCCTGTTAGAACAGGAGATTATGAAGCATCTTATAAAGAAAAGTCCGACCAGAGAGACTTAGAACAAAAAAATTGAACGAAGTGGTTGAGAAATCAGAAACCAAAGATTCAACTAAGCATGTGATCTCTTACGATTAAAGTCAAATTGAATGAAACAACGACGGGTAGTCTGAGAAAATATATCCCGTCGTTGCAACGACCTCTCCTCCCGCATATAGGATGCTCTTCTCTGTAATAATCGCTTCCATATTGATTCAAATCTGTCGATGCTTTGATTCGGGAGGCTGAACTAACTGTCTGAAATCGAACAGCAAGACTTCGCCAATCAAATCCCCATAGAGCTTCTGAAATGCTTTAGACATGGTTCTCTGTTTGACCTCCTTCAACCTCCATTATCGACTCTTCTTCTCTGTTCAATCGATTCTTCATCTCAGCCTCGTGGAATCCGTACATGATTACTCTCCTTCTTGGGCCATCTCTTCTTTCTAGCCACCATTGGGCTTTTTCTGATTCAAAATTGGCTCTCCTTCGAAGTGTATTGGACTACGTAGCCATTGGGCCATGTAACATTTTAATTCTCATGCTTTTAGTAGAATATCTTTTATCCCAACAAAATGTAGTAGACTAAAATATTTTACATTATATTAGTTTTGGTATAATATAATATATTTTTAAACGAGTTCTTTTCATTATTTTAAATATATATTACTAATCTAAAGATGAAGTGGATAAAATAAATATATTTTTAAACATATTATAAATATTTATTATATCTAGCCTAATTATTTATTTCGAGTAAAATAAATTATTTATTTCATGAAATACATTATTATATTTTGAATCAAACTGTTATGTGATTGTGTGAACCATTTAAAATAAAAAAATTAAATTTATTCGAATGATATGTTTTTTAAATAAATGTATTATTAAAAAAAATAACAAAATGATGCTTAATTTCACGTGATGGGTTATATGGTGATTGGTGAGACGGGTTGTAGCAATATGGTATACCACGGGTGAAATTCTAAAATTAACAATCAAAATACAATTATACAATCTTAAACATTTAACAAAACAAATAATATTAACAAAACAAATAGGGAAATTGTTAAAAATGCCCTTTTTGGTGTGCCCCTTTTCAAAAATGCCCCTTTTAGATGTCCATTTTCAAAAATGCCCCTTTTTTAATCTGAAATTTTTATAAAGTTTTATTAGGTTTATAAGGTACTTATGGATTGTAACTACTACTTGAAGACTCGATCCAAGTATTTATAAGGTTTTATAAGGTGTTTTTAAAGGTTTTACAAGTTATTTTAAAGGATTTTTAAGGTTTTTCAAAGGTTTTACAAGATATTTTAAAGGTTTTTAAAGGTATTTAAAATGCATTTATAAGGTATTTATAAAGTATTTATAAGATTTTAGATACATAGAAATGTAGTTTGTGTATGTTTTAATAATGTTACATACATATTTGGGTAAATCTTATATTTTTAAGAGCATTTAAGGTTTTAAAGAAGGGGCATTTTTGAAAAGTGGCATTGAAAAAGGGGCATTTTTGTAAAAGCCCCAAACAAATATAACTTAAATTTTATATTTTTAGTTATAAATAAAATTTACATGCTGTGTACCTAAAATCAAACATAAGTCTATACCTATAAAACATAAAAAAAAAAAAAATTAATACAACAATAACACAATATATATATACCCAGTGGTATACCAAAAATCTATATAACAAAAAATATCATAAGTTTATAACAAAAAATAATTCAAGAAAACCAGATAAAAGACAAAATAACATTAGACTACATAATCTCGGAAATTTACGACTAACTACAAACCGTAGACTATTAATCATCTTTTTTTTTTTTTTCGATAACCGAATGTCCTGGCCCCACCGAAGTGGTCCAGACTAGAGACCGAACCCTTACGGCACGGACTCGGCCGCGATTAATCATCTTTTTATAATCAACAAAAACAAAAACAACAACAACAAGAAATACTATACACAAAAAAATTCATCAGTTTCTAAAAACTAAGCATAAATAAAAAAAATTAACCCGCGGTGTACCGCGGGTCATATCCTAGTTGTGTTTTATAATAACTGGATTATACCAAATTTAGACTGGCTTTATACCAAAGTTGAATCGGTTATCATGAATAACCGAATTTAATTACCGAAATACTATAATTTACCCAAAAATACCCAAATTTAACAAAAATAACTGATTGTTCTAGTTTTCCAGATCTAGTTTTTTAAAGCTTAAATCTTTTCATCTTTGTGTTCTTGTTGTTTGGCTCTTTTGTCTCTGCCATTCTCACCTTCCGATCTGGCCGTATCCTTCCTTGGCAGAGGCAGTTTTCAACCGGTTCTTCACTGCCTCAGATGAAGAAATTTCACCATCGTAGATCTAGATCTTCTTCCTTTCTTCAAGAGACGATCCTTGAGTCTCTAGAATTTGGATGTGTCTCACCGCCTCCGTGGCTCCTCTCTGGAGCTTTATAAAGAGGGTCGCACGGCACTTTCATTCGGTTCCAACTTGTGGTAAAGGAGATTCTTGTATTGTATCCCGTTTGTGTGTTTTTCTTAATCTCAGATTTGATTAAATCACTACAAGAATATTGGCTTTTTGTAGCGGCCAGAAAACGCTATTGATAGATACAATAGCGTTTTACCAAACGCTATATCATCGCACGCTATAATAGCTCCGCCACTTTCGATAGCGGTTTTATGTCATGCTATTATTGTATTATTTTTAATAGCGTTTCTGAAAAGTTATGAATTACTCTTTCATAACGTTTAATTTACGCTGTTAATATATGTAATGACAGCGTTTTATAAATGTTATTGTGTTGAGTAAGAATAGCATTTTATTTACGCTTTCAAAGTTTAATGTAATGACAGCGTTTTATAAATGTTATTGTGTTGAATAATAATAGCGTTAGATATAAACGATTTTTCGTTATTATTGGTACACAATTTGATTATTGAAAACCTGTTTTTGAATATAAATACTCCATAAAAATCCAAAACATAACATTAATCCAAACATAATTCATCCGAACACAACAAGTTTCTCTACTAAGGCCAAGCATCCAAACATCCATACACTAATGTTCTCTACTACCACAACATCATCACATAAAAAGAAGTTTATCACTAGGCCAAGCCACAAGACTACCTAATGCATCATCAATGGTCTGAATTTCTGAACTTGGTTTCCACACTTTCGCATTTCCTACTAGTGGCACGTCAACTGATACCTTGCTAGCATTGGGTCCCAATGGTTTAAGATGCACTGTGTCTGTTGGATTAGATGACCAAACTCTGCCTTCTGCAACCTTCTGTCCCGGTTTAGAGCAATCTATCAAGTAGCACTTCTTCTTCTGACCAGATTGAGTACTGCTGGTGTTGTTGCTGTTAGCACTCTACAAAAATCAATCACAATTGTACACAATATCCATTAGATTAAACAAATAAACATTAGAATATGAAACAGTTCTAATATGAAACGAGTACCAAATCAGAGACCCAACTTAAACTGTTTTTTGCAGTCCCTTCCTCTATAGTGTCATCAAACCAAACTTTTCTGCGTCTATAAATATGATTAGGTCTTAGCCGTTTCCTATTACCCATATAAACAAATTTCCTACTGAACTTCAGCCACTTAAATGGTGTGTCTTTCCCACAGACATTACAAGCTTGTTTTCCTTTAACTTTGCAACCAGCTAAAGTACCTAAGGCTGGATAATCACTAATAGTCCACAGCAACATTGTTTTTAGTGTGAATGTCTCCTTCATGAATGAGTCATACACCTCAATGCCATCATTCCACATATCATTTAAATCATCAACTAATGGTTCTAGATAGACATCAATGCTGTTACCTGGAGCAGTTGGTCCTGGGATCAACATTGTCAGCATTATATTCTCTGTCTTCATACACATTGTTGGAGGCATGTTGTAATTTACTAGCAACACCGGCCATGTACTGTACTTTGTGTTCTGAATGGAGAAAGGATTCATCCCATCAGTTGACAGCCCTAACCTCAGGTTTCTTGGCTCAGCAGCAAACTGAGGCCACTTAGAATTCACTTGAGCCCATGTTGTAGAGTCCACAGGGTGCCTCATGGTACCATCTTCAGTAGCATTGTTGAAATGCCATTGCAAATTCTCTGCCAATCTTTTGGATCTAAACAAACGCTTGAATCTGTCCTTTATAGGAAAATATCTAAGTACCTTAGCTGGAATCCCCTTCTTTTCTTCACCATTGTGCTTGTCCCTTTCCCATCTAGATGCATTACATCTTGGACAGCTTACCATATTTTCATACTCCTTCCTGTAAAGAATGCAGTCATTCTTACATGCATGAATAACATCATAACCAAACCCAAATATCTTCAAGAATTTCTTCATCCCATCCGTTGATGTTAGAAGTACATTGTCTTCAGGCAGCATGTCATGAACAATAGTTAAAAGCTGATCAAAGAAGTTCTCTGACATACCACTTTTCACTTTGATGCGGTAAAGGGCCATAATCGCAGAAACTTTAGTGTAAGTAGGACAACTCGAGTACAGTGGAGTTTCAGCATCCTCCAACTTCTTCCTAAACTCTGATTCTTCATTACTTTCAACATACTCTGACTGGTATTCATCATGATTCTCTGGCTTTCCTTCACTTCCAAAAGCTGCTCTAAACAAGTAATGAGCTTCTAATTCTGGTCTTGCTTCATCAGCTGTGTTGTCACTAATTAACTGCCCATGCAAACTCCAACATGTCCTCCTCTTATATTTCTGATCCATTCCCCTAATAACTAGATGATCCACGACTGTTTCTCTAGACTGATGGCATACATTGCGGCAATGCATGCAGGGACATAACATTTCTTCAGGATTACCCAAACGCTTTGCTGATTCAGAAACAAAAGAACTTGCACCTTCATGATACTCAAGGCTAGTCCTGTAGGTTAATAAAAGTTTCAAAGTTCAAAATCAATCTCAAAACATTTCTTAACAGAACTATTTACAAAAATCTCTGCAAGTAACATACCTTGGAAGCCAAACCCAAGACTTGTCCATGTCACAAGAACACCCATCTCCACAAGATGTACATGAGATAAGAGTTTCAAAGATAAGACAAGTATAAAACATATCCTAAACAACTATAAGACCCAAACTGAAAAGAAACGAAGCTAAATTTCAGCAAATACAAAGAGAAATCAAGCTTAGTAAACGAATAATTTACCTGCGCAACAGGAGATTGTATAGTAAGTTATCTGCGCAAATATAAAGAAACAGAATGAGAACCAAATTGAAAAACCCAATTATCCCCAAATCGAACATTATCCCCAAATCGAAAATCCAATTTGAAACCCAAATCAAAAACCCTCACAATGTAACATACCTTTCACCGTGACAAATAAGCCGAAATCTTCCTACAAACAAAGGTAATAATCGACTGGAATCAATTACAACTTTTAAGAACCCTAAATCGAGACGAAATTTCACAAAAGTACCGTTTATAATCGAGTGAGATAGAGATTGAGAGCTTGAATCAGCTGAGAGATTTGAGAGCTTGAATCGAGTGAGAGATTTGAGAGCTTGAATCGAGTGAGAGATTTGAGAGCTTGAATCGACTGAGAGTGTTGAGAGCTTGTTTTGAGGACTTAGAAAATATCGAGACTTTCAGAGGGAAAAGCCAAATTTAGTTTCCCGGTTCAAGGCCAATTATTTTTAGGTTTTTCCGGTTCACTTTTAATAGCGTTTTATGATAATTCTGCTATTAAAGACAATGCTATAAAATACTTAGAAACCCAAATTATTAGGCGCGTGTTTTTTTTTTTCTGCGAAACTTATTAATAGCGTTTTTAAAACTACAAACGCTATCTTAAACTCGACCTTATACTTATAATAGCATTTGTGAATAAAACGCTATAGTATTGTGCTATTAAAAGCCAATATTCTTGTAGTGAATTTTCTAAAGTTTAGGTTTTGTAATTCTTTTTTTGGGTTTCTAGATTCTGATCCGGGAAGTATTTATGGTTGTAGTTGGTTTGTTTGGGTTTTTTACCCTTTGTTTACCTTGTTTGGTCTTTGTCTCTGGGAGTGTTCTTGTACTCGCCAGCTTATGTCTCTGGAAGAGTTTATCTATTGTCGGTTTTGTGTACCAAAACCGCATCCCACCCTTGTATCCTTCAATCGTATTATATAATGGAATAATTCAGACGAAAAAAAAAAAAACAAAAATAACTGATTTGTTTTTTTCTTTAAAGGGTGATTATTTCAGTTCTAAAACTCAATACCAAAATTAATGGACCAAACCGAAGCAAACCAAATTTATTTTCAGTTAACTTCTGTAAACCAAATTTATTTTCATTCGGTTAACCGATAATCCAAAAAAACCGGCTTGGGTCGGCTCGGTTCTGTGTGGTGTTTTGGCGTAAGGTTCTGTTTGTGGGTTCTTCATTCGGATGCTTGCCTTCTATAATGGCATCTACTAGCTCTCTCTTGGAACATCATTTGGTTCTCGGATGTGTTCTGGACGTTATGCTGGGTCGACCTCTTGTCCTTTTATTTGTGTGGCATAACCAGTCTTTAGTCCGTAGGTGACTTTGGCTGGGTCTATGAAAGTCCTTGCGTGAGGATGAGTTGTCCTATTTGGCGTTTCCCCTCTAAGATTTCAAGGATTTTCCTTGATCCTTTGCCTTCTCATTTTCATTGGCTCTATAGTGGTCGTGGAGGTTTGGTTCTGTGTTCTGATCTTCTTGCTTCGTCGTCTTCATTTCTGTTGTGGATATGGTTGTGTGAGCTTGGTTCTTTTCGATGCTCATGTCTGTTGCCTCTCCTCAGCGCCAAACTGTTCTATGGAAGTGCTAGTCAACTATTTGTAGGGAAGAGTTTTCAGTGTTGTTGCTTTGGAGGCTTTAGCTGTTATTCTTTTAGTAGTTATCTTTGAATTTTATCTTCTCAGCCTCTTAGGCTTGTTATATTTGTCCGCTTTTTTAACCTTTAAGTCTCTGGATAATTCTATGTACCCGCCGGCTTTGTCTCCGAAAGGATTTCAATTCTTCTCGGTTTTGTATAACTCAAACACATTCTACCAATAAAATCCTTTAGACGAAAAAAAAATAGTTATATCGTTATACCGCTTGTTTTTTACCTCGAATATGGCTATAATAACTCCATATACAAACTAGCAATAGAAATCGTGTCCAAAGAATTTACCCCTAATACAATTTTTCAAACTTTACTTTACCAAACCTAATTCCCTCATTTTTCTTATCAACATGAGTCGTTACTCGTTAGGCAAATATTCAATCAATGTGTTTTTTAGATGTAAACAACTGCATTCATACATGCAAATCCAACTTAACCAGAATTAATTTTTAAAGATACTTTTTAAGTATATGTTTTCTTCTGTTACTTGTTCGTCTTGTTAACCTCTAACCTATAAATGTAGCTGCTATCTGTAACCAGCACAGTTATTTTTCTTGATTATTTTATCTTCTTCAATTTAATAATTTCGGATCGAACTTCTATGACTAAAGGAGATGGATCTGCGCCCAAGTTGGACATACGTGTATATATTATACATAGAATAATTCACACACCTCATGATTTTTTTTTTTTATTTTGGTTAATCACACAGTTCTTTAAACTTATATTTATGATATAGCTAGGACGCATTTTTCTAATAGATAATTGCTTTTTAAAAGAATGTCTTTTTGTAAAGAGTGTACAGAAAAGAAGGTACTAGGTAGGCGGTTTTGTACATATGACATTGACGAATCTTTTTCTTTTCTCTTATGCAAATTTATTTTTTCCAATATATTTATTGGATATCAACTTGAAAATAAATTTATAGGCCTTTGTGATTTCTCATAGCATATCACGACCACTTAAAATTTTGATTTTTCTTACATTTTAATTTTATATAATTTCGCATATTAGAGAACCAGTAACGTTCGTTGTTTCATTCTTGGTCAAGTGTATCAGCCGGTTATGTAAAGAGGGTATAGTATATAGAATACGTAATTATATATGTGAATGATCCAAATTATACTAATTTAGTAAGTGTTATATGTATCCATCTTTTTGTCGTGAATTAATGTAGCATCATATATGTAATTTAACGTAGATAAATCTTGTAACATCAAATAGACAAAGTAGTTCATTTTTGGTCTCTTATGCTAGTTGTAGAGGTCTTTGGGTTCGAAACTACAAAGACATTAACAATTTGATGAGAAAGATCACCTTCTGTTTGAGCCCTAATTAAACACGTACTAGATATTGAGATCATACTATGTGATACTGATACAGCACTCGTCGATGAGTGGTTAAAAGACTTAAAAACTTCAAATTCATCCTTTCTAGTTGTATGGTCCCTAAAAATAGCATGTCTTAGCCCTGATCTGAATGAGATTAATGAAATATTTGGACCTCTAATCTTCGAAGGATAATCACGCACTTCATACAATTTGTTGACTATATATACTAAAATTCGATCAGAGACTGCAACTACATATCTGTCATTTGGTTGAAGGTTTTGTTGAGGAGCTTACTTACGGGCCTTCGGGGAGACTACAGACTCTATGGTTTATTCAATATAATGTCGCATTGTCAACGACTATACGGAAGTTGAGATATAAATCCATCAATATAATATTACGGTTTCTATATATTCAATGCCACAAGGATCGACTAATTATAATGCCAAACATCGAAATCGCAAGCTCTGGGAGGAGAATCATATACACTCCAAAATAAGTCCATAACAATCATTTTCAATAAGATAATATAGAGACTTTTGTAGGATTTTTGATCGTAGGCGTTGATCGCAAGCGTTTATATAATATAGTGTTAGTTGCTAACATCTAACCATAAATACAACCAACTCTAACAAAAAAAAAAGATAGACCAGTTAATTGACTCTTATATAAGTTAATTTCCACTGTATAAGCCATGATATTTTTTATAATTCTATTCTACCGTATAGTTTAAATTTGAGAAGATCTCTTCAAGAACAATTTTTTTTTTTTTTTTGTACAAGTTTATGTACTAATATGTTCCTTTAGAAAGAAGTGAACGAGTGGGAGACCGTGCTTGTAAAACCCCTTATAGTAGACTTTATTTTATTTAAGAATTTTATTCCAAATAAAAAAAATAAAAACATAAAGTTTGACATTTGTAAAATTTTACGTCGATATTGTAAAACAATTACATATTTATTAGCAAATATCTCTCAACGTCAAAGGCCCGGCAAACAACTCCTAATCTCCGCCCGTTACGGTGCAAGCAACACACAAAATGATACTCATTGAATTACTAATTATTAACTTTATTACATTTAAAAAAAAAACATAATTTAATGTTTCATTAAACAACTATATAAACCAACTTAGCGACCACCTAAGCATTTCCCTTACCATTTACGTTCTCTTCTTTCTCCTCCGACACACTCCAAAACTCAGAATCTCTCTGATGTGAATTTGACTAACTCTTTCGTAATTTAGGATCTTACTACAAATCCTCAATCTCCGATCTTTTTCTGTTCATTCTTCAAAAGAATTGAGAGAAAATGGACAACGAGTTGTTTATGAACACAGAGTTTCCACCACCGCCGGAGATGGCGACGCATTTCGAACCACCACCGTCTTCTTCATCGGCGATGATGCTTAACTGGGCTTTAATGGATCCAAATCCACCTCAAGATTCTTCCTTTATATGGGAAAAGTCAACGGAACAACAACAACAACAAAGCATCTTTGACTCTGCTTTAAGCTCATTAGTCTCATCACCGACACCGTCAAATTCCAACTTCTCCGGTGGTGGCGGTGATGGTTTTCTTATCAGAGAACTCATCGGAAAGCTTGGAAACATCGGGAATAACAATAATAACTCCGGTGAGATCTACGGAACTCCGATGTCTCGCTCTGCCTCATGTTACGCAACTCCGATGAGCTCTCCACCACCACCGACGAATACGAATTCTCAGATGATGATGAATAGAACGACGCCGTTGACGGAATTCTCAGCAGATCCGGGTTTTGCGGAGAGAGCTTCAAGATTCTCTTGTTTTGGTAGCCGGAGCTTTAACGGAAGAACCAATACAAATCTTCCGATAAACAACGGTAATAACATCGTTAACAACTCCGGGAAGCTGACACGTGTCTCAAGTACACCAGCTCTTAAGGCTCTTGTTTCACCGGAAGTCGCACCCGGCGGCGAATTTCCCCGGAAGAGAAAATCTGTGCCCAAAGGGAAATCCAAAGAAAATCCCATTTCCACTGCTTCTCCATCTCCTAGTTTCTCAAAGGTAAATAAATTTTCCCGGAAAATTTCAAACTATTTTCCAGGAAAGTTTTAATTTTTATGAAGCTTTTTCTAATTTTGGAAGACCCGGTTTTTTGTAAGTTCATTATTCGAAGAACCCAGTTCTTTGAAAAGTCAGCTTTTACATAAAGTTTTTAACTTTTTTTTTGTGTATTTTTAAATTTCTTAGACGGCGGAAAAGAAAGAAGAATGGGGTGGAAAAGGAAGTAAAAGTTCAGAAGAAAAAGGAGGAAAAAGGAGAAGAGAAGATGAAGATGAAGAAGAAGGAGAAGGTGAAGGAAACAATAACACAAAACCACCTGAGCCTCCTAAAGATTACATTCATGTTCGAGCTCGACGAGGCCAAGCGACCGATAGTCACAGCCTCGCCGAACGAGTAATTATTTCTCTTTTGTCTCCACTTCTCCTAAAATCTTATAAAGTAAAATTTACCTCAATTATCGGTTAAACTCGAAACCAAATTTTCGGGGCAGTCTGGCTAGATCATGAGTTGGAACTCTAATTGCGGGACAAAACTACATTTATTATGTTATGATCTCCGACATGAAGATGTACAGGTTTCGGTCCAGAACTTTCTCGGATACGAAATGAAAAAAGACAATGATCTAGTTTAATTTTGAGCAATTTGCTAGGTATTAGGTAATAGGGGTTTGTTTATTAGTTGTGTTAATTGTATATTTTAGATGAGATTAGAATTTGGTTTGAATTGTTCTTAAATGTTGGTTTAGGTTCGGAGGGAGAAAATTGGTGAAAGGATGAAGCTTCTTCAAGATCTTGTGCCTGGATGCAATAAGGTGAGACTCTTTTTTCTTATATATTTTTAAGTATTTGATTAGTCACTGATTAATTTTGGTTATGAAGTAAATTGTTCATTAGTATAATTAGAAAACTAATGTCTTTGTTTTTCTTTGTTTATACGATGAAAGGTTACTGGAAAAGCACTGATGCTTGATGAAATTATAAACTATGTACAATCATTGCAAAGACAAGTTGAGGTATAATTATTATTTGGTATCATCTAAAATATAATCAATAGTTTCGTTCATTAATCACCGAATTTTAATTATTTGCACTGAATTTTTTTCTATTTTTCTAATATTTTTTTTTGTTTAATAATAATGGGCAGTTCTTGTCAATGAAGTTATCATCAGTGAACGACACCAGGCTGGATTTTAACGTGGACGCTCTTGTGTCAAAGGATGTTGTAAGTCACCTTAAACATTAACATCAATTTAACAACCATTAATAATGATAATTTGACATTATTCATTTTCAAATCCTTTTTTTTGCTTTTTGTTTGTCGTCACTTATATCTGAAATCCTTTTTTCAATCCACCCATTAGCATTAATCAGGCAGTTTTTATGAATTTCTTTTAAAAAGCACCTTTTGTATTTTTCTATTTAATTATTATGCAATTTTTCTAATATGTTTTGTATTATTTGAATTTTATTCAGATGATTCCATCAAGTAACAACCGATTGCATGAAGAAGGACTCCAATCAAAGTCTTCAAGTCGTCATCATCAACAACAACAACTTAATATGTATAATAGTAATAATGCACAATTACTTCCCAATATTTCTTCCAATAACATGATGCTCCAATCTCCTATGAACTCTTTGGAAGCCTCTACCTTAGCCAGAAGCTTCACTCACTTACCAACACTTACCCAATTCACTGACTCTATTTCTCAGGTTTAAATTATTCCTTTAATTTTCTTGTTTGATTTCAATTTTTATATACTCAGATGATTATTATAAAATAGTTTTTTTTTTTTTGTGTGTGTTTTCAGTATCAAATGTTTAGCGAAGAAGATTTACAAAGCATAGTAGGAATGGGAGTGGCACTAAACCCCAACAATGAATCTCAACACATGAAAATTGAGCTTTGATCAACCATTTTTTCATGGTCTCAAGGAAGAAAAATAAGAAAAAAGGATTGATGGGTGTACATAAACCATACCAATATTTGTGATTTATTCATATACTCATCTCCATTTATATATAAATACACACATTTATGGAAGTAACCTATAATTTTTACTTTTTATATTTTATATTATCATCTTCCAATTCATTATTAGGGTTCAATTGTATTGTTATCCACTTTGGTTTCCTTTGGATTCCTTTTGCTTTTCTAATGTAATATTATTGTAAGTTTGTTACCTTCCACTATAATCCAAGATAATTAATATACTCCAAGTTAGGCTAAACAAAATAGACCACTTTTTATGTTTATTTGATTTTAAGTTAATTATAGAAAGACCATCGTTTTCAAAATGTATTGCTAAATTAGGAACTCACTATCACAACGTTTTTTTAATGAAAAATGTCGATTTTCGAAAACACGCCCTTTACTTTGTTTTCAACAAGTAATCGGGTGATCGGCGATATTAACCCTAACTTGGATCCTATGCAAAATTATTCCACGTTATTACTATTTTCTTCGTAAATAATTGCAACCTTATCTAAAATCTAATTGTTTACATCATACACTTTAGGACAAAGAACTTTCCGACAAATATCATTAGACAGAAAGTAACCTTTAGATAATAAAAAAATTTCGTAATGATGGACTATAATCTAAAATAAACATGATTTAAATGATCTATCAAAATACGAAAATTTGATTTTTATATTTGTTACTTCCTAATTAGTCAACATCACTTTCGTTCCTAGATTCTTTTTGATTTGATATTTGCTAATGTTAACCAGCTGTGTGAGGTGTTATGTCTTTATCTCTATTGTCTTTGGATTTGAGGTGGGATTTGAAAACAATATTATAGTGGGATCAAGTTGTGATTTCTGAAAATTAAATGTCTTGCTTGTAATTTCTAGAGATCTACCGAGAAAACGCGGAATCTTATATGTTTGCTTTTTCTTTAACCGGTTTAATCCCTAATCAACCAATTATTCGGTGATCAACCAAATATCTTTCTCTAATAATAATCACTTCAATTATTTTAACCGTAGCTTAATATTTTTTGTTGTTCAATATTCCAGTAGGCGTTAGGTACTAACTAGGACATGACCAGTCAATCATGTACAAATCTATAGGAAATTAGGTCATGTATGTATTGTACATTACTTTTAAGTAAGTATATCGCTCGATTGAGCTTGATCAGCTTCCGGTTAGTGTTCTCGATCAATTTCTGGCAAGATTTTTTTATCAATTTGGTTTTAGTAAAGATTTCTCGATTAATCTTGATTCCGTTAAGAACTTAAGATTTGTCGGTCATTTTTGTTTATGATAATAGTTGTTGTAGTCACACTTCCGATTAATGAAAAAATAAAAATAAAAAAAGTCACACTTCCGATCATCTTCACATCGGGTAGTTTTTTCTCGATCACTTCCGATAGAATTTGGGTTTGCTCGACTATTTCTAATAGCCGGTAAATTTTCTCGAGCATTTTTGTTCCGGCCAGAAGAATTCTAAATCGATGTCCTCATCATTATGTCTATTAAGTGGCTAAGCTGATCAACCAGATTGTAGCAAGGATTGTACCATCTTATTTACTAATCTAAGTAAATGTAACATATTGATATTACATGGTGATGGCAACGATGTTGTAATTTTGTACACACAAATTCACATATATATATATATATATATATATATGAATAAATAATTTACCATCATATATAGGTATCCTGATTTTTTTTTTTTCAGTTTGTGTTATATATGTAAATACAGAGGCCCCAAGTTAGAGTCTATATACATATAAAATCTTTTAAAATGCATTTTTAGTATAACAATAAGAAAAATAAACAATGATAGGTATAATCATTTCTGATTATCTGAGATTAACTGATAAATTATATAGAATGTTAACAAAAATAGAGCAATCACATGGGTATGCACTCTGATTTGTGGACTTAGCACACAGAATAATGATATAGGGTTATATTAATCACCAACTACTTTCAAGTTCATAATTGAAAAGTTGCTAATTAAAACTTCTAAACTTATTTATAAATCTTTATGGTTTTATTAGTCTTCACTTGCAGCTTTAGTTATAATTAAGAATTGGAGATTGAATTATTGGACGTAGGAATAGGTAGGGTGAATTAATTGGATTTAATTTACTAATACTTTAATTTAATCCATTCTATTTTGATCACTAGAATAAAAAGAAGAAGATGCTTTGAATGTGGGTGGTTTTATATTTTTAATTTTGAAGAGTAGTTGCATCTCACTCGGAAATTTAATGATATTAAAAATGGTTAAAAGTAACGACAGTGTACATGTGACATACTTTTTATCGCTAAAAATGTTGTATAGTGGCAAATTACTACTTAGTGATATATTGAACAAAACTTATTCTTCTTTTCTTTTCGAATATTTCACAAATCCATTAGAATGATCCATTCCTTTTGATAATACCTAATACTACTATTTTTCAAACACACTATTGGAAAATTATCTTCGGTAACCAAAAATTCGTTATCTAAAACGTTTTGTTGAAATGTTTGACCCGGCCTATTTATAGAAAATACTATGCGACTCCGGATAGTTTTCGTTGGATTTGTACACTAATTTTGATAGTCAAGCACTCACCGTATAGCTAGGTCAAAAACCATTAAAGTATCACATATAATATAAATCCATCACGAAAGGCTTTTCATATAGACTAAATTTAGAGATAATTCTCGTAGACCTCCCAAGATGTGGGTTATTGAGAGTATACGTAGTCACAAAGTGGAGAATGTGATTTTTGGACTAGAGATGGAGTTTTTGGTTAAGGCAATTATCAGACCGATTGCTTGGCCTGCTTTTAGATATCAATCTATGGAGGCTGTGTTGGCGCTTAAGTCTTTTAGGCTTTTTGGAAAATTCTTTTGGAAAACTCAACTTCAAACAGAGGCGCATTTCTTATTGCGAAGAGTGTTACTAATGATTGTAGACTGCAATCTTATGTTGCGGTTGGTCATCCTTCATGGCTTGATGGGGTCTTCGCAGAGGAAAAAACTTTGGCGTCTGATTGAATTTGAGCTTTTGTGGATTCGGCTTCAGAATGATGAAGCACATTCTTTTGTATTGGCCCAGCTATTTGTAGTTTGTGGCTTCTTTTTGGCCTCTGTTTATAGAGTTGTATTTCTCTGGTATGGTGGCCGTGGGATAATATTGTTTGCATCTTTTCATCCTTTATTTTAATAGTATAATTTTAGATGACAAAAAAAAAAAAAGGGCCCGTAGTTGTTGTGAAGAAGTTATGACGTAAAGTTGGTTATAAATTTTCTTGTGCCACAACCCAACCCACAAGCCCAACTGTTTCAGGACTTGTTTTTTACCCACAATTGTATTGATGGCATAATTTGCACAACAAATTAACAATAATTTACCCCGCAATAAATTTTTTTTTTTTTTAGGATAGAGAACTTAACTACAAAAACTATCTATATCAAGCGATTGGTGTCGTAAAGTACTTGGAGTGGCCTATTTATTATTACAAGTCTGTTTTATTTCAACAGAATTGAAGTAATAACGTCTGAAACAGTAACACACACCAAGATTGATTACAAGGAGTAAAACAGAAAATTACAGACTCTTCACATTTACTTTTTCGAATCAATGCTACTCTCTAAAGTGATTTAAAGACTCATGCCTTGGTGTCAATACTCATCGCTCCTTTCTGCACAACAATCACAGTTCATATTAACAAGAATCACTATCATTTCAAAAGGCTATTTTACCTATTTTGTACCCATTGAACTCTCCTTTTAAAAAAGTACTTACGTGTGGCTCAAGCATTTTCGACAACATGTTGCCGTAAAACTTAGCATCTTTCTTGTTGTACTCTTTCACCTTCTCTTTCAACTTCTTATATTCTATCTTCACCTCCCTGCAAACAACCAATGTTATAAGTTATAACACATCGCAGCCAGAACAAACAAAGGAACAGTCAAAAAACAAAAAAATAACTCACTTGTTGTCAGGATCAATCTCAAGAGCTTTCTTAATATCAAGCTCAGCCAAATCAAGATCTGCCGTCTCCATGTAGGCATGTGCTCTCCTATACATTGCTTTCACGTTCCTACTATCCATCTCCAACACCTATTCACATTCTCTTCATGACTTAGTTGTTCATCTCCAATTTTAATATCCAAAATAACTGAAACTGAGTTTTATTTTTACCTTAGTGGACAATTTTGCTGCTTCCTTGTAATCTTTCAGTTTCAGCTTGCAAGCTGCATCATTAAGGTTACAGGCAATCTTGAGATCCCTTGCTTTCTTTTTCTCCTCTTCGTCGAAAGTTGAGTCATATTCTATGTACTTGACACCCTGCATCCAAAACTTGATGTTAAAATCTAAACCAAAACATGTCTTTTTTGCAAATACTAGGATCAAATCCCTAACCCTTTCATATCTCTTTGAAGCTCTTGCGTATTTTCCAGCTTTGAACAGCATATTCCCTTCTTCCTTCTTCTTGCCTGCAGCTTCTATCTTTTCCTGCGTGTTCATATCCCAAGACTCTTTCTCCTGCATCGAGAGAGACGATAGCATTAGCACACATAAGTTTCTTCATGAGGAAAGAAGTAAGACTCAGAAAGTGAATGCTCTCACCTTGATGAAAGATACCATCTCGACCTCGTAGAATACAGTCGAGTTTGGCGGTATTACAGCCAGCTCCTGCTTTGATTCAGAGGAACCAAAAGCATATTCCGGCGAAATTGTGATGAGTGCTACCTCACCCTTCTTCATGCCCATCACAGCTTTTTCAAGCCCTTCAATCACTTGTTCTGCACAGAACACCAATCCTCTGTCACTTTAATATTATAGTCGTGACACGCTAAATACAAATAGGAATGTATATTATATACCTTCATCAGTTTTGAACTCGAATGGCTCCTCATCTTCTTCATAACCTTTCTTCATGAACACAGTTCCATCTTGAAGTTTACCAATCAACTTCACTGCAAAAAAACAGCGTAGCTAGTTTATCAGATCACATAGCTTAACTATAGCGTAAAAGCACTCTTCATATAGACCTTTAAAGATAGATACTAACATTTGACAACTGCTCCCTCATTGGGACGCTCATACCCTTCACCTTCCTTCAGTATTTTCTTAATAACCTTCTTGTCATCAGTTACTTCCACCACAGTCTTCCAAGAAACCAACTCAAGGTCAATCTGAAGGGTTGCATTTGGTGGGATTGCAGCTTGAAGGCCATCAGAAGCTGGTATTCCAG